CGTGGTCAAAGAGACCGTGACACGCACTGTCCTCCGCGAGGGGCCGATGGTGCAGGAGCAAGTGGAGATCGAGAAGAGTGTGGACCGAACCTCGTTTCGATTTGAACTTGCCGACCTCACCGCCGTGAAAGATATTCTCGTGGACGAGGTCGACGCTCTGAGCGCTTGGCGACACCTTCCCGCGCAGAAAACGTCTGGCGTAGACGCCAATCCCTTACCACTCCACGAGGACCTGTTTCATGTTCAGGCTGGCGCATTGGGCGTGGCCCCGTCGGGGGGATTGGGCTCCGAGAAGATCTGCTGCAAACTCTGCACGAGAGAAGTTCAACGATCGAAAATGAGACTGCACGTGGGAGGTCACATTTTGAAGGACAAGGTGCGGGTGTTCTTTATTTTTTTTGGCATGGGAATGCAAGACCGGGTGAGATTTAACCTGTTTTGATACTGCTGTAGTGTGCAATGCTGTTTTGATACGTGCATGGCTTCGTTATTTTTCATTAGCATCGTATAGACTTCACCTGCGTGGCCTGCTTCACCCTGTCCCCTGTGTTATTATTTCGCGAGATGTTGGGCAACGGTGCTTACCGGACGCGCGTCGACTCATGCCGCATATTTCAATCCGGCGTGGAAATGTCAGCGGCACGCTCACGATCCATCCTCTCTCCCTTTTTGTTGTAGGCTTTGCAAGTGAGCACTGTCTGTGGCTTCTGTGGTGAGGTCGGGTGCCGCAGCACCATCCATGATCCACCAGGCAAGGCCAGGCCCCTGGTGCACTCGACCTGTCCATCAGCGCCTCGGAGCGACGCACGCCAGGAAGCCGTAGCTCTGAACCTGGGCAGTGCGAAGGCGGGCTCAGATACCTCACCGTGCACCAACATGGTCTTGAAGTGCCTCTTCTGCTCCCAGGACACCTACATCTGGAAGTATGGCATGTCCGAGCACGTCACAAGATGCCACCGGGAGGACATACTTGTGGCGGCGGGTACGACGGTAGATAGGTTCAAGGAAGCCTACACTATCTCGGAGAGCGAGAAGGCCAAGGTACTCCAAAAATTTAAAGCCGGGAGGCCTCGCCGACGTGGTCAAGGAAACGAAGCCCTCCCCACTGGCGCACTTGGGAGCACGGAAGGGAACGGCACTTTCGGCCGTAACATGTCCGGCACCCGGTCCTTGGAGGACATGGGCGAGGAGGAAGAGGAAGAGGAGGAGGACGAGGAACAAGACGACGACGACGACGACGACGACGACGACGACGACGAAGATGAAGACGACGACGGCGACGGCGACGACGAAGACGACGACGACGAAGACGAAGAGGAGGAAGAAGTAGAAGAGGAAGAAAGGCGGGCAGGGGGGGTGGAAGGCCAAAGCAAGAAGCGACCGGCTCGCAGAAAACGTAGCGAGATACCGCGCGAGAACTCGGAAGTAGGGGTCCGCGTGAGTAAGCGGGGTAGAGTGATCAAGAAAAACGTAACCCTACAAGACCAAGGCTACTCGTAGATTTGCATGACTATGTTCTCTGTTGTGCAGTGCTAGATGCGGCAATGGCAAGTTTGCAAGGCAAGTGGTTCGATGTATGGTTCTTGGCTGAGCTGTTCCGCTCATTTCGAGCTTTGGTCGATACTGTATACTTTCGTAGATACGAGACTATCGTACGTGTGTGTGTTCCTCTAGCACGGCTGGGTGAGCATGGGCGACCATCGATGACGAGCAGATGCGGAAGGGGTAACGACACACTGTTCCGCTCATTTCGAGCTTTGGTCGATACTGTATACTTTCGTAGATACGAGACTATCGTACGTGTGTGTGTTCCTCTAGCACGGCTGGGTGAGCATGGGCGACCATCGATGACGAGCAGATGCGGAAGGGGTAACGACAGCGAGGCATGTTTTCCATCCATCTAACCTTGCCTCATGGCAACTCATGGTAACTTTTCGACGGTTCACGGTAACTTTTCGAATTTCTCCCCCCTCCGGGGGGGGGGGGGGGGGGGCCTATGTGTCTTGAATTTTTTTTTACCCATACCCCTGGGTTGGGGGTTTCAGGCCCG